GAGGAGCTGGACAAATGGATGGTTTTATAGGCAGAAGGAGGAGGGGGTAAGGAAAGGGCGGATGACATCATCTTCCTTAGTCGGGTGGAAGGGGCCTGTGTGGCAGGTGACCTCACTGGTGCTGACCAGAAAATTTCCAAACTGACAGGTTAAGACCACACTCCTGGGGTAGACTGAAACTGCAGTTAGGTTAGGCATGAAGGTTTGAGGTGGGCTTTGCACAAGTGACTCCATTTGGGACCCACTGTCTTTGTCAGCAATGGCCATTCCTTTGCCAGCGTTCCCTTTGGATCCTAGAATGAAAAACCAACCCTGCCCTCATCCTGTGCTTCTGCAGTAGGACTTCCTTCCTTGGCTGTTCAGTCAAATATTCCTCCTTGTGCTGCCCCAGTTCTGTGCACAATGCCCAGAACGGTATCTTCCATCTTGTTGGTCAATTTGCTAGTCACGTTAAACCTGCTGGTTTTCTCACTCTACTGCCTTCTGGGTTTGCAGAAGGCAGGATGCCCTCACTCTGTACTCTGTCAGCAGGCAAGTCTCTGACCCTTGGCTGGTGGACACAGATCCTGAGATGTTACTTTCTTCCTATTTCTGGTAACAGAATCCTTGTAGGAGACCCATTCTACACGGTTTGGATAAGGCTAAAACTACTCCTCTGCCTCGCTCCATGTCAGAGCACCCAGTTCCCTTGGCCGCGGCAACATGTGCAAGGATAGATGTGTAATCCACACCAGTCACTCCAAAGCCACCTGTGCCTTTAATGGCACCAAGGACACAAAACCCTCTCTTCTCTGGAATCAGCAGCCTGCAGAATAACTGAAGTCAAGAGCTGCCAACGCAAGATAGACAAGCAACCTAAATGTCCATCAACAGATGATTGGATAAAGAAGATGTGGTACCTGTATACAAGGGACTATTACTCAGCCTTAAAAAAGAATGAAATACTGCCATTTGCAGCAACATGGATGGACCTAGAAATTAACATAATAAGTGAAGTCAGTCAAAGACAAATATATGATATCACTTATATGCAGAATCTAAAAAAATGATACAAGTGAACTTATTTACAAAAGCTCTCACCACACTGAATCTGCCAGCACCTTGATCTTGGACTTCCCAGTCTCCAGAACTGGGAGATGGCTGTTTACAAATAAGCCATTTAGTCAATGATATTTTGTTATAGCGGCTCAAACAGACTAAGACATCACTTCATTAAAATATGTAACAGTTGACCCTTGAACAACATGGGTGTCTACTGTGCAGGTCCACTTATATGTGGATTTTTTTTTCAATAGTCAGCCCTCTGTATTCAATGGTTTTGTATCCGTAGATGCAACTAATTGTGGATGTCCATAGTTGGTTGAATCTGCGGATGCAAAAGCTTCAGATACAGATGGCCAAGTGTACTACAGCACTTTATATAAGGGACTTGAGTATCTGTGGATTTTAGTACACATGGGGGCACCTGGAAACCAATGA